GGGATTGTTGAAGAAAACATGGGAAGGCCAAAGGTTTTTAATCCTTAATATATAAACTGTCCATATACAATATGTGTGTGTGTGTGTGTGTGTGTTTATTTATTTATTTATTTTTTATTTATTTATTTATTCTACTTGTATCCCGCCTATCAGACACATAAAATAACAAGTAAACATAACAAAAGAAATTATTACATTAAATAACCAGTTCTTCAAGATGGAGAAGAAAAAATAAAAAGTAAACAAGAAAGAGAAAAGAAAGAATCAGATATTAATTGGAGGGAAGGCCTGCCTAAACATCCATGTTTTTAATTGATTTTTAAAAATACCCAGCGAAGGGGCTGCATGAATCTCTGGAGAAAGATTGTTCCAGAGGCGAGGAGCTACCGCCGAGAAGGCCTGGTTTCTTGTTTTTTTTTTCTTCTGGGCCTCCCTCAGTGTCAAGCTCCTCAGCCTTACCTCCTGTTCCGCCAGGTTTCGAGGCCCTAAACTGTTTAGGGCTTTATACGTAAGCATCAAAACTTTGAAGTTGATACAGAACTGAATGGGCAGCCAGTGCAATGCAGCCAGAATAGGAGAAATATGGTAGTATTTTCTCACTCCACTAAGGAGTCTGGCCACCACATTCTGCACCACTTGAAGTTTCCACATCAACCTCAAAGGTAGCCCCACGTAAAGCGCATTACAGTGGTCTAATCTTGAGATTACGAGCACATGTACCAAGGTAGTGAGCGCCCCCGTGTTGAGATGGGGTCGGGGCCAGGCTATCCGCCACAGATGGAAAAAGGTGGTGCAGACCACCGACGCCACCTGAGTCTCCATGGTGAGCACCAGATCCAGATGGATCCCCAAGCTGCGGACCCCACTCTTTGTGGCAAGGGTCACCCCCCCAAATGAGAGAGAATCACCCAATCCACCAACAATGGAGGCACCCACCCTCAGAACATCCATTTTGTCCGGGTTCAGCCTCAGCCCATTTTCCTGCATTCATTGCAGTACAGTCCCCAGGCAGCCTGAAGGGACAGAACGGCATCACCTGCGGTTGGTGAAAAGGAGATGTAGAGCTGGGTGTCATCAGCATATTGATGACACGATGTACCAATTCTGTACATTTTCCTCCAGAACTGAATTATCATCTCCTTCAATTTATTTTTGAAATCATACACATGTAAATGTGCTCAGTTTTTTAACAGCACCAACATGAAATAAACAGCGTCTTCAGGAACTTAATTAGAAGATGGGCCACTGACCTGCATACACCACACCTCTCAGACTGGCCTTTTGTAACTTTTCCTCCCTCCCAGAATGCTGCTAACAAATTGATGTGTATGTCCTATCACCTTCGCAGCTTGGCAGTTGCAGTTTACAAACCTGGTGAAATCTAATTTTTCAGAACAAAAAAAATGAAAACTGTTTTTTCCAGTTGAGTGGCAAAATTGGGTGTCTTTCCCTTTGCTCATTAATGAAAAATTAATTTTACAGTGACTTGTGTCTTACTGTGAGCAAAGCTGGCACTCACTCACTTGCTGTACATTTGGGGAGGGCATTAAGTCACTTCCATTCTCCCTTGGGACAGAGTTTTATGCTTCAGAAAAGTGAAGGCAAGGCATGCGTTTAATCTTACACAGTATTATTGTTGTTGTTGTGTCATTAAGATATTGTTTGTAACCACAGAGACATCAGGCATACATAAATTTTCAGCTGTAGCCAAATGTGCCAAACAAACATATTTGCTATAGTGTACAACTGCCATGTAGACTGTCAGTGGCTTCATACGTGTAGTATGTCTCCTGATAAGCAAAATAGAATATTGCAGGAATTGGTACATGGAGGCAATGCTAGAGTTAAATTGAAAGATGCCAATAAGTTTTCCTTCTGGATGTTCTGTGCTATGGGGCTGAGGATATCCATGCATAACCATCTCTGCTTCAAGTTACAATATACCTTTTGCCTAAAATTTCAAGATCAATTAATTTAAGAAATCTTTAACATAAAATGAAGCTCTTAAAATACATTCTCTTTTTAAAAAAGAAATAAAATATTTAAACTTTTTTAAAAAGGTAAATGTGTGTACATCAGAGGACAATTTAACACATATAATAATGCCAGAGGGGAAGACTATTGAAAAAGTTTATGGAAACATCTGTTTGTTACTTAGGACCCTGAACCTCAGCCACAAATTCCTGTCTAATGATATTACTTTTTATTGGCTAGCCAAAGGTGATTGTGGTTAGGTTGTCTTGGCTATTTGAGAGAAGCTTCAGAATTGAACATAGATCTTGATCTGAGCGTTTTAGGTGAAAATTTTGTGCTCCTTATCTCTTATACCATGTGCCGATCCCTTCTTAGATTCCTATGAGAATGAGTCCAAGCACGATTGTTGTAAGTCAACAAGTATATATTCAAAATCTGTGGAGCAAAAACTGGCATTTTGATATGGAGCAGCTGATCAGGAGCAGCTCAAATTATGATTAAAAACATGCTGATACGGTTCTGATCCTAAATACAGAGACCTAGATTGGATGCTGATTCCAAGTTTGCTAAACCATAGTTTCATCACTGCCAATGAACAAAGAGACAATATGATCCCTCCCTCCTTTCCTAGTGACTTATTTATATTGTAGTTAGACAAAATAGGGAACTATGGTTGAAGGTCAGTTTTCTATCCATGGTCTCAACCAGAATTTGAAGTTGGTTTAAGACCATGGCCTAAATCCAACAGCTAGTCTGAACTAGAAGAGACACAGCGGAAGTTACCAGGTTTTGATTTAGCATTCAACATCTGATTGCAATTCCAGTGGCACTGGCATTTGGATTTAAGCCTTGGTTAGTTAAAACAACATTAAAACACAGCTCCCCATTTTATATGTAGTGGCTGATTGTAGCTTAATTAAACCACGATGTGAGTAGAGAAGATGATTGCAGAAGGGAGGAGGCTCTTGACAGTGATTAAGCTACAGTTCAGCTAGCTGGAAACAGAGCATCCAAATGGGGTGAGAAACTGGCCTTATATTGAATAGGCTGATACTGCTTGCCTGCCTCCCTGCCTCCCTCCCTCTCTCTTTCTCAATTTACCGTTTGGCTTTTTAAAAACATCTTCTAGAATGTGCCATTAAACTGCAGAAAGCCTGGCATTGTCAGGAGCCACTTGCTGCCAGAAATGGCAGAGAAAAGGAAATCCAGTGAAAGGAAAAGAGTTTTGAAAATGGGAGGCATAGGGCTGGTGAGGGAGCCTAATTGAGGGCAGTCGTCAGTTCCAGGAGAGCGAGCCGCACAGAAGGAAGAAAAGGGAATCGGCCTCTTAAGTCTGCTAGTGGGAGAGCAACCTTCAGCTTGGTGCTCTATTCTTAGCAGCACAAAGCCGGGCCTTTGGGAGGGAAGGAGGACGCATGGGATGGTTCCGTCATTGGTAACTAACTGATCTAGAAAGGAGCCATGTGATGAGGCCAAGAAGTGGCAGGAAGAGAAAATGGGAGAAAGGGAGAAAGAAGGAGGCCGCATCAGTCACATAGGTGGAATACATCTGAAGAAGTCTGAGGGCTGATTCAAACATGCAGGGCTTCCTATTATGCATGATACAATCTGCCAATACAACAGTGCCACTTTGAAGCATTGAACTAGCAATTTTATGCCACTGTGAAACACCAGCTAAAATGCCAGTTGTGTTGTATGTCATACCTTTACAAAGCTATTTAATTTTATTGTGATATTATGTCGCCTTCTCTACCACACCCTTTGCAAAGGTCTTTGCTGCATTTTTGCTGAGTGTGTTAGTCTGATTTGTTGCTGTGTGTTTTGATTTATTTTACAGAATGGCTTTAGAACAACTTTTTATCATCCACATGCACTGTATTGTTAAAATACAGTGGTTATTTTCCATAAACAAATATTTTTAACAGAATCCCAGGTTTACATTTGGCAGGCTCCTGTACATCGATACATGCATAGAACAGAAAGTTTCAGCCTTGTTTGACATTCAGTTTGTTCCAAACAAATCATAGCTAACATTAACCACATTTTATCAGCTTAAATGGCACAACAAGATGCAATTAAGGAAAAGCAGAAGTGAAATCTTCTGAACTCCTTGCAGTTAGAGGAGAAAATGGGTGCATGGAATCAAAGGCATTGTGTGTCTTATTCAAATTATATTAAACTATTGGTTCCTAAAATGAAGGCTTGAAACTGTACGATTATTATAAAAATTAATTTTAATCTTTTTTACATTTTCAAATTTCATACTACTAAAGCATGAAACATTGTTCATGTTTTAACTTAATTAATTAATTAATTAAAACATGAAGCTTTTTCATGTATTAACATAAAATGTTTTTAGTGGTTTTTTGTGTTTATTTTTAAGGATGGATGGATTTTTTTGTTTGAAAGAAGTTTAGCTGATGATAAAGGAGAGACAAAGAGGTGTATCTAAAATATCAAAAAGATGTAATGTTGAAAATAATATGTGAAACTAATGTCAGTGTGATGTTTGGATGCAGTCACTATAGGTCTATGTATAAATGTGTAGTTTCTCATGTTTATGCACCTCCTAAAATCCAAGATGGTTCAGTTTTTACAATATCATATTCCAGGCCCATCATCTTGTTTTTGTAAGATGAAGTTTTGATAAAGATACTTAAAGGCAGCCGAGAGCTGGGACACTGGGGTAGAATCTCAAAATGATTTATTTGTTGCTCAAATGTCTGAGTGCTCCTCATAAAAAATACTCACTAGAGATACACAAAACTAGCAAGTAGAAGGTTATGTTAGCTTTCTTTTTGATATATTGGTTTGGACAGTCTTTCCTTCCAAGCTTCCTTTTTTTGGCAGTCTGAAACATCAGAATTTTTTGTTTGATTTCTGCATTGTTCATATATCGCTGTGTTGCATAGATACCAACTCCAAACTAACTACTGGCCTCTCCAAGAGGGTTAATTTCTGAATTTTTCATTTGGACTAAAAATGATTACTCTGACCTTTCTGCTTTTTTTTTTTTCTTCCATCAGACGTGGAGCAGATGGCCATCGACTGGCTTACTGGCAATTTCTACTTCGTAGATGACATAGATGACCGAATATTTGTGTGCAACAAGAGCGGGGTCACCTGTGTTACGTTACTTGATCTAGAGCTCTACAATCCTAAAGGCATTGCACTGGATCCAACCATGGGGTGAGAAATTATAGGTGTAGCTTGTGAGCAAAAAATAGCTTGGTTTGAGGAAAGTGTGGAGCCTGTTGGTTTCAGTGCTTGCTTAACATCTGAGGCTGGCCCAGCCTAGAATTTCAAAGGTGCAACACCAAACTTATGCAAGACTGGACAACAATAGAGTCCCCTTCCTTCTACATTTTCATGTCATTTTAAAGAAAATTGCTGAGTAGATAAAAGCCTGTGTTACCCAACCTGGTCCCCTCCAGATGTGTTGGGCAACATCCCAAGTGATCTGCAGAAAGCTTGGCCAAGCTGACTAAGAGAGATGAGGGTTGAAGTCAGACAGATCTGGAGGGTCTGGGTATGGTTTTATCTGTAATATGCTTTTACTGTAATGCCCTTTCATTGAAATGTGGGTGTATTATTGTGTGCTAAATAAGACCTTCTTAACTGTGGAGGAAATACTATTTTTTGCTAAAGCGCTTTTAATGTGGCTGGATAGTTAGTTGATTTGGAGCACCAGGGTTCAGGAGTTTGATTCCCCACAGTATTTCTCAGGAGAAGAACTGGTCTGTGCAGATTTATGGGAAGCTGTGTTTGAATTTGCATTATGTCAGCTGGAAGAGAGGCCAGTTGAGAGATACAGAGCATGTATGGCTGATGGTTGCTATAAGCACGACTCCTGTGCCACGACTCCTGTGCCACCCTAGGCAAGCTGCAGAGGCCCAGGATGCCACCAGATGGAGAGAATGGTAAACCATTTCTCTGTACTTCATACTTGGAAAGTCTGAAAAGGGCTGACGTAAGTCAGAATCCACTTATCAACACATAATTCATTAAAGCAGTTATCGTTGCTACAACATAACAGAAGTTAAGCAAGAGGAATCAAAATAAAGTCACCTAGTCCGGTATCCTAATTGATTCCTGTGCCTGGAAGGCAAAACCCAGAAGTGGACATGGCTGTTTGGAGAGGTGCCAGTCATGTCACCAGCATGCAGCAGGCACCTTTCCAAGTAGCTGTGGCTGATTCTATAATTTCCCTTCTGTGCAGAGTAACAAGGACAGGACAATTTCCCTTAACACGAATGTACATAATGGTGTGGTAATGATGGGGAATATTCCCAGTGTATTTTCCCCTCCCCTCATTATTACTGATCAACACTGCCCCTACTTAGTCTGTTGTGAGTTAATGAACCCAGAACACATTCAGTTCCTTCTAAACAGCAATTTTGCATGACAGTTTTACTTTCCAAACAAACTCTTGCTTTGGAAGAAATGCATGGCAACAACTTGACTTATGACAAAACTAGAAGGTACTTCAACACTTGAGAAAATTTGCTTTAACATTAAGTAAATAACTTTTGCAAAAGACCTCTTTAATTGTACTTTAAAATGTGTGCAGCCCACCTGTGTTGAAAGGAACATACTAGTCCTATTTCCTCCAATAGTTGAGATTCTGTAGTGTAATGTAATAAATCACACTAGAGTAGGCTAGTGTGGAGGCAGCGGAAGACAGGAGGGCCTGCTTTGCTCTGGTCCATGGGGTCATGAATAGTTGGACACGACTTAACGACTAAACAACAACAAGAGTAGGCCCACTGAATCAATGGGGATTCAGTGAGTCAACTGCTTTGTAGGCTACAATACATGGATTCAAGTGGGCACACTCTAGTTACAACTTATTGTAACATAGTAAGTTACAGTTAGAGTTGGCTCATTTAAATCCATGGAACCTGCAAGGTAGTGGGCTGACCAGATCCCTACTGATTCATTTGATAGACATACTCTAGTGCAACTTATTATGCTAAGCAACAGGATTTCTGCCTTTGTCTCTTTAATCAGAAAATGCAATTACCTGAAAAGAGGAAGGCTACTGTTTCTAAGTGGTCTCTCTCCATGAACCACATTCTGCGGCCTTCCCCCCCCCCTTTGGATTGTGGCTGACATACCGAGGCTACTTCATATAGCATCGACCTCTCCTTCAGGCAGCCATGTTTCCTTGATTAAAGAGAAGGCAGCGAGTAGAGGAACACTCCCTTCAGCACATGTGGGTTCCACATGCTTTAGAGCACGACTGAGTAGCGCTGAACTGGATGTATAAAATGTGAACTGGAATCTGTGTTCCCATAAAAATTGGGTTTCTTCCATCCAAAACCTTACGGAGGTTATCAGAGCCTTATGTTGCAAGCAGGCAACTTAAGTCAAGCACAAGGAAGGCGTTAATCAGGAATGTCAAGCTGAGAAGCTATGCCACAAAGAATGTGGATTGCAATCTAAGAGATGCAAATTGGGATTTCCTCAGTGATAATGTCCAAGCAAGAGCCTGGAGCTATAAGTAATTCACTTTTCATGGTTGACCTTTGCTCTTAAATTATCACTGTCTTATTTGAATAATAAGCTAAGTGCCTGTCAATAGGAAGTGTAGTCAGCTGAGCAGCAGTCAGTATGAAATGGCAGGCACTTCTTTCTCTTTTCCACCCGATCCTATTTGAACCATCACCCAATTTAAAAGCTTAGATGAAATCATAAATTAACATGCTAACAGTTATTTGAAAGCAACTAGCAATATTCATAGAGCAGTGGCATGAAATTTGATTAGAGGCAAAAGTGGGCAACATGGAGGCCTTGGAGCTTATGTGGGCTGCATAAGCCCTCTCCAGGTGCTTATGCAGCCCACACCCACCACATTTATTGCTGCATATGTTGAACTGGTACAGCAAGTAGAGCAACATACTGTACCTTGTTTAAAAGCTGTATTACATTCCTCCGAAGCCTTTTAGGAGTGCAGATCAGTTCTCTCTGTCTACCTTCTTTTAAGCAGCAATTCAAAATTTTGACATCTCCAAAATTTGACTGCATTACTGGTGTGCACGTGTCCCCTGTAAGGTCAGGGAGGGGAAGTGCAGGGCAACAGAATCTTCTGATTCTGCAGGATCCTTTGTTGCTGTGTCTGCAACTCTGATTGTGCCAGAGCTATTAAATGAATCATTCTTCAAGTGACCATAATAATTTGAAGCTCTTGATTCACCAAAAAAGAGCATTATGTTTGACTTCTTCCTTGTAGACATACATACCTTGGCATGTAGCGTGGCCTTAGAGGGCTGACTCCAGGTTCTTAGTTGGCACTGAGCTGAAAATATTCCTGGGTAAGACAGGAAACATCTTCCTCCAGGTTCCCTGGAACCGCAGCAAACTCACTGGTTGAAATCCTGTTGTTTTGTGTAGTAGTGTATGTCTCAGTTGGAGCAGGCCCATTGGAATCAATGGAACTTACAGATTAGGTGACTCACCAAATCCCCACTGATTCAGTGTGCCTACTCTGGTGTGACTTACTACATGGAGCAATAGGATACTGGCAAGGGATGCAGTTGGACTTCCTGGTCTAGCAAGAGGGGGCTGTCTCCATGGCCTGACTTCAGTGAAATCTTCACGCAAGAACCATCAGGTAGAAAGTTCTCATGTTCTAGAATAATTTCCTTCCCCTTGGAAACGTTGGTAAGCAAGCTCCAGAGAGTAGCCTTAGGGTCGTGCGTGAAGTGCCTTTCACAAGTGGAAGAAGAGAGAAATGACCTCTACTGTTGGTCAGGGCTTAGAGTTCGAGAGGAGCCAGTCATTCATTTTATTCCTCAAAATATTATCAGGCACTTTATTCTCTCAGGTAATACTGAATCATCATCATCATCATCATC